AAGATGAGAGACCTAACGAATTGGAATGAAGCGTGGACGATGGCACGGAAGGAGACGATGGGAGAGAACCAAACGACGAAGAGGATGGAGGGGGAGGGACAACTTGTCCATCGATGATTGCTTCGATGGGGGGATCGGGCTAGAGAAAGCGGTAGATTATCCTAAGGATAGGAAGAGGAGCGAGTGCATGAGCGATGAGAGGAAAAACATGTCGGAGGAATGACTCGGAGTGTTCTTGATAGTAAAATTGCAAGATCATGATGCAACTGTAACTCATAGGTGTAACGGAAAGGAAACTCTGTAAATATATTATCAATAGTTTGCAATCAAAGAAGTTAATGTTGGATCTATTGGTGTTCTCCCGTCGAATATCCAACTCGAGCTTGCCCATCATGTGCAAGCAGCAATGTGGAGAATGTAATGATGAGGAAAATATACTCAAATGTGGACCATTTTTGCCTCGGAATGACGTCCGAGATTGGTAAGAACACTACGTAGATGCCTGAGTGAGTTGGCCAATTTTCGGGTGGATGCTCCTGGGTTAGCAGCAACTAGCTCGCGCCGGATTTTGATACATTCTTCGATGAACGGGAGCGCCTCCGAGTGCCGTCCGAGAATGGCAAGAACGCAAGATAGATTGTGGAGTGATATGGTCAAAACTAGGGTGTACAATCCGGGGTTAACAGTAGCTAACTGGCGCCGGAGTTTGACACTTTCTTCGATGAATGGGAGTGCCTCCAAGTGTCGTCCGAGTTTGGAAAGAGCGGTAGATAGAGTATGGAGTGACATGGCCAAATCCGGGGTGTATGATCCTGGGTTAACGGCAACTAGCTGGCGGTAGAATTTGACACTTTCTTCAATGAATGGGAGCGCCTCCGAGTGCCGTCCCAGATTGGAAAGAGCATTACATAGACTGTTGAGTGACATGGCCAAATCCGGGGTGTATAATCCTGGGTGACCAGCAACTAGCTGGCGGTAGAGCTTGACGCTTTCTTCGATGAATGGAAGCCCCTCCGAGTGCCGTCTAAGATTGGAAAGAGCATTTCGGAGATTGTTGAGTGACATGGCCAAATCTGCGGTGTATGATCCTGGGTGAACAGCAACTACCTGTCGGTAGAGTTTGACACTTTCTTCAATGAATGGAAGTGCCTCTGAGTGCCGTCCAAGATTGGAAAGAGCATTTCGTAGATTGTCAAGTGACATGGCCAAATCCGGGGCGTATGATCCTGGGTTGACAGCAACTAGCTGGCGGTAGAGTTTGACGCTTTCTTCAATGAATGGGAGTGCCTCCGAGTGCCGTCCGAGTTCAGAAAGAGCATTATATAGATTGTTGAATGACCCGGCCAAATCTGCGGTGTATAGTCCTGGGTTAACGGCAAGTAGCTGGTGGTAGAGTTCAATGCATTCTTCGATGAATGGGAGTGCCTCCGAGTGCTGTCCGAGATTGGAAAGAGCATTATATAGATTGTTGAGTGACATGGCCAAATCTGGGGTGTATGATCCAGGGTTAATGGCAACTAGTTGGCGCCGGAGTTTGACACTTTCTTCAATGGATGGGAGTGCCTCCAAGTGCCGGCCAAGCTTGTGAAGAGCAACATACAGACTGGTGAGTGACCCAGCCAAATGCGGGGCGTAGAGACTTGAGTCCACAGAAAAAAGGTAGCGGCAGAGTACAACAGAATCATTTGCTGCCTCATATGCCTCTTGGAATCTTGAAAAAAATCCCAGGTTCCATGGAAGTTGGGTAAGCACTTTAGCCAGTGCACTAACAGCCCTGTGGTCAACAGCTAACTGGAAGACCATGAGGTAGTTTCTTTAACACAATTAATAACTCATACCTTAGCCCATTCAGGGAGTAACGAGATACTGACATAGTTTTCCATTCTCACACAGACTTCCACCCACCGAGTTGCCTCCTGACTTAGAAACATAGTAATTGGCCCAGCAAGCTCCTCAGACCGTTCCTGGACTTCACTGAGGTGATGGACAATGTGGCGACATGCATAACGAAAGTGCTCAGATAACTCTTTTGAAGGAATGCACGGCATTTCATCTTTTTCGGACAAGTTTTCGATCAGTCCTAAGCCCTTTACAGAGCAGAGATCCTTGTTCAGAATCTCAGTACATCGCAGGGCAACCCTGGCATTCTCCACCCCCACCACTATCGGAGTGAAACGAAAGCTGATCATTTGAGGATCGATCCGATTGACGATAAAATCGCGGAAAGATTGGTGTAAGATGCGAACCGGAATGTGGGGTTCCTCAACTCCTGAGAGCAGAGGAGCAAGTTCAGCCAACGCATATTGAACAGAAGAATTGAGGAAAGGTGACAAAATTGCATCCCAAGCTGTGACGGACAGAGGCTGTTGAGCAACAAAAATCGCTCCCATTACAATCGGGTAGTCGTGCGCAAAATCTTCATCCTCCCAATCAAACTTCCTCAAAATCCTCATATACAAATCATCCATCATCTTCTCAGTGGGTACCTTTGACCGTTTGGTCCCAGTGTCGAGTAGGCTCTCCAGTGTTCTCATAGGATTCTTCCTAGGCTTCTCCATGTAGCGAAAGATGGTGCTGATCCAAATAAACAAGCCACCTGCTTGTTCCCGGATCTCTTGCACCGCACTATCCTCGTCCTGGAGTTTGTGTGCTAAATCAGGATGCCATTTTTTAAGCTCTTGTAGCTGGAAACGGATGTATGCAGCACAGTCATGCATATTTGTGTCATCCAGGAGATCAATGGTGAGATGATCGATAGGGAAATGGCGTGAGAGGGAGTGATTGACAAGATCAACATATCTCGAAGTAACGAAAAACTTGATGGAAGACGGTAATTTGGGCACTTCCTCGCAGAAAATCTTAGCAAGAGGTTGATATGCTTCTTCGTCACATTCGTCTAAAGCATCGATGATGACCACCATCGGATGGCTGGGAGGCGGAGGTTTATGGAGAAGAGGTGAAGATACCAATTCCCGGAACTGCATCGTGAACGAAGCTCCTGAGAGGGTGGGGTCTTTTCGAAGGGCAGAGATCATGAAGGTACGGTAATCTGCGTCACGGCTCGCTAGAGCTCGAGCAATGCCACTGAATAAACAGTCCGGCCGTGGCTGTTCGCCTGCCCTGAAGAAAAAGCATAGCAATAGGATAGCCTCCCTGTTGCATCTATCTGCAATCGTGTGCACAATTGAAGTCTTGCCAGCGCCGGCCACAGAAGTCAATAGCATCAGCCGGTTCTCGTTATCCCCGGTGTCATGACACCAATTCATGATACGCTCCATGAGATCGACCCTGGTGCCTTCTAGGCACGCCTCTGTTGAATCATGGTGGGCAATTTGAGGGTATCGGAGACTAGCAAGGATTGGGTCCCTCTCCAGACGGTCTAAGCTCTCCTCTATAGTCGATAATTTGACACCAGTCGTTAAATTCGTCCTAAGCTGCACCGTCCAAAAATCAAAATGATTAAGGAACAATACCGTGAGGAAAGCTACCTGAAACGATGCCAACGCTTTGTCAAAGTCTCTCCTCAGGCCCTCAATTCTTCCAGGGTCTCGATAGTGAGACAGTGCATTTCTTACAGCTGACCGTTTCTCTAATTCTTTAAGTTTTCGTTCGATTTTGGTTTGGATCTCCTGCAGCGCGCTGGTATTGGACGTAAGGATGATATCTGAAACGACCAAAAACCAATACAACGTACCTCCCAAGCTCCGTGACACCCTCTACCCATGGCCCTGCCTCCTTCGCTGACATATCATAAGACTTTATGGTTGAAACTACCTCGGCCGTAGCGCTAGCTACGTATTTACCAAAATCAGTCCATTCCTTCTTGTCCTCCTTGAACTTCTACATGGGGCAAACTAGCATGAGCCTTCATTCATAATCAAGCTTGAATCATTACCAACTTTAACCTCGTCGAAGATGGAGAGTGCACCGCTAGTCGCCATCTTTAGAGGGGGACACCAATCAGCGGTAGCATTGACGACCCTGAGAATTGGAACCGCCATGTCAACTCCGGCCACAAGGAGATTATCGATCGTTTGCCTGAGAGCTTCAGCCTTTTGCCGCAACGACATGGTTGATAGCAGAACGAGTGGATAGAGGAGAGAGGGCTTTAAGCGCGCAACGCACGTGTGAGCCCCTAAACACTCAGAAGCTAGAGCCGTCTGATTATGGAAGGTTGCGGAAGGATATGATATATGCATTTATTTGGTCAGCACCAACACGGACTACTGATCCAGTATCAGCAGCGAATTCTGGGGGTGACATAACCCGGACTCGTGAAAGGTAATTGGTACGGGGGATATAAGTCTGCTGCGCGAAAGCCAGTATCATGCCGCCTAGATCTGGAAGAAGAAAGATGAATGTGATTAGGGATAAGAACTAGACATGAACGAACAAAGACTATGGAGCGTCATACTGAGGCACTGGTCTGATCACGGTGTTCGCTTCGTACAAAAGAGCTGGCGGTAAGCGCCGGTGAGGTACGCGTACCCGACGTACGCCAGTGGAGGCTGGGATCCAGTCCAGCCTTTCATCGGGATCTTGGAGTACTTCAATCAGCTTTCATATGAGCTTCACTAGTAGGATGCCAGTAAGTGACCCGGCTTCATGCGCGCGTCAATGCCTACAAAATAGGCCTCGGGCAAGGCTTAGTTTTTTTTTCAAGCCCGAATATAATCGTTTTCTGCAACCAGCTTCCTTTTGGGTAGGGGGCAGACTCGTACCCAGTCGTCGTCGCTCCGTGGACGCGCACTGCGAACACGCGATTTCAAAAATTGACTAAGTTACGTTTGTATTGTAATACATAATAAGTGGTCACGTTGCGTATTGAAATACATCTGATCACATGACTTTATCTCCGCAACATGTGATCAGATGTATTTCAATACGCAACGTGACCACTTATTATGTATTACAATACAAACGTAACTTAGTCAATTTTTGAAATCGCGTGTTCGCAGTGCGCGTCCACGGAGCGACGACGACTGGGTACGAGTCTGGCACTAGGGCGGCTTTCCGACCGGCTCGGAACTCCCAAACATGGTGCGCGTTCCCTGTCTAGCACAGTATGCATGTGGCCATAACTGGAACTGCATTCGCACTCGGCTCATAAAGTAGCTCACTTGTACACGCGAGACTTCATCCCCACTTAATCCTCTCGAGTTCTTCGGTCGAACTCTCGAACTCCTCCAGATCAATTCAACCCATATATACTGCTCAGCGCTTAACGGGTTACGATATGCGGGGAAATGAAATTCAGAATGTAACATGAAAAATATATGCTTAGGGTCACGACCGAACTCATTCTGCTAGCAGCTCATGAGAGAGCCAGTCATTCTCATCAAGCTGTGTTCCAACTAACGTCTGTTCGTTACGGCCAACCAAACAAAAGAGGATGTTATAGACCCAATATGCTAAGATACCCGCAACAATGCCGAAAGAGAACGTACGCGGTGGGAGTGGCGATCACTCACTTGGATCTTGATTATGGGTGAGTCTGCGTACGTTCCTCGGATTTCATCTTCACTGAGATAGAAAATCAGAAAAATCCATTCTTGCCCATTCGTGAGAGCACCGCGGATAATCCTTTTCTTCGATGAATGCGGCCCAATATGCATTAGTGACAAGCGTGGGCAGAAAGCTGGGTAGAACTTGGAATCCTTGGCACAGGCATACATTCCGGCCACCGCGTGAGGGATGTGTTGGACTACCGGTACTCCTACCTGCTTCGCTTCAGTCACAAACAATCCGTTTGAGTTCTGGCGCTTGGCGTATTGGAAATGGGGCCTGTGGATGGACGACCACATGGTGTGTAAGCGCAATCAGATAGACAGAAAAGGATGGACGCACAATGTTTGCGAGGGTCTGTTATGAGGGCAGTATAATCGATCGTGCCAGTGATTGTTCAAGGAACGCGCTTAGGCCGGGCACGCTTCTGCTGGGACGTGTTGCTCAATGATGAGTACCATGCCCTGGCTGCCTGATAGCATAGCCGACACCCGGAAGAAGATAACGTCAATCCATAGGCGAGGACCCGCCTCGTTCCATAGTGAGGTCAGCAAAGTAGGGGCACACGGTTTTGGGCAAGATGGCGATACAAGTCCCCCGATGTCATAAATGTTCTGACACCTTGATCGATACTTTCCGCCACGCGGTCCGCATGATTGACGAGAAGACCACTGGGGGGGTGATGTTGAGCTGTTCATGATATCGAAGCCTGTGTCGGAGAACAGCAATTTGAAACAGAGGATCAACTCCCTCCTCCACTTCCTCCCGTTGAGAGAGAAGCCTTTGGAGCTCTTCGAGAGGCCGTATGGCTCTAAAAAGTTCGACACTCTTGAGGCCGGAGCCGGGAGTTCCCCTTTCGCTGTTTTCAGTCATTGGCAGTGGTATGAGTTCAAGATAGGCAGGTTGCCAGTCGCAAATACATGTACTGCACTGACAACAAAGATGAAAACCCTGATGAATCAGGATGAAGCGTGCAAGTCTAGAAGATCAACTAGAAGTGCAGCTGCTAGCGGGGGTCGAGTCATAGACGTTGGTAGGCTATACAGATTGGTCACTCAAGTCGGTGGTGGTTGCGTAGCAAATCTGAATAGAGGTGTGTGGAGAAGGCGCCGAGTTTGCCGAATCGAGTCCGACAAGCCCAACCACACTGCTAGTTGACGTCACCACCACTTGTAACTGGTGACAGTCATCTGATTGCTTCCCCCCTCCAGCACCCTGGAGCAGGGCTTATCGTTTGGGGACCCGGATACACTCACCCCGGATGCAGCAAGGAACACATCTAGTATTGACCACATCACCAGATCTGGACAGCCTTGCCTCGCTATTGTCCCTCTCACCCAGTGACACTCGAACTCTATGTCCATGGCGCTCGATATATCCTCAGGCCCATTCATGACGATCTCGAACATTGCCAGTGGTATCGACTTATTGTTTGCGTTTTATATACAGGGCAGGTCGCTTCTACTCGTGGACGACCCCGGAGGCGAAATACTCAGTAGCGCTCATGTCGGTTTTGGACATGTTTTATTACTCGGTCGGTCGGTTTGTGACCAGTCCTCTTCATAAATTAGCCACGGCTTTGTTCAGCACCTTGCTAGAGACGACCTGGGATTGGATATTGTGACATCATAGTTCAAATACACGCACCTTCAATTTTGGAAGTCCGAAAATTATCAAGGCTTCATTAGTTTGGGACCCTCACCCGTGCAGCGCACCTTGGCGGTGGCTGCTCATGCCTCGTCAGGAAACAACTCTGTTGCCTCGTTGCCTCGAACTTACAACAAACTCAGGCACAGGGGTGGGAGTCCGGCGAATACATGTGCCGCCTCATTGTGCATTGCCATGCAATAACGATCGCGAAACACCCGGTTTCAATGCTGTTTCTGCAACTATGTTGTGTAGTGCCTTCTCGACCGAAGTCATAGAGATAGAGGCTGGAGTCCTGCCTATTCTCGACCTTTAGTCGAGCGTCTTCAACTTCTTCCTACAGATCTTAGACAAAGCACGGGAGCACAGGCTGGATCTGACCCGTTAGGTGGTAACGGTCCCGTGGATACAAACTGTACTGACTCGGAGTAGGCTGATTCTTGATCCTTGAGGGTTGTGCACCGAGGAATGATAAACAACGCCATTCCCTGCGACGTCCAGTGGCCAGGTCGCAGAGTGTTCCAAAGGGCAGCTAATTTGGACTATCATTGGTGCTGTCTCCGGGGTGCAAGGAATGAACAATGTTTACAATGCACGTTCAATGTCTTTTCCTCCGTAGTAATATTTTCGGTTCTTGTTATTTGGGCCGTGGTAAGGAGGCATTGATGATCGAAGGCGAATGGTTCGGGGAAGGATCCGTGTTTAGAGATGGTGGCCGCTGGCGGCATTACGACTACATTACTTCATGGACTAGGTCACGAAAAGATACATAAATGATGGCGTATTGGCCAAGACTTACTGGTGGTGTGCGCTCCCAGCAGTACTATTTAATTTGCCCTATTTCTAGACCTCATATCCTAAAACCACAATCTGGTGATCGACGACAGCAGGGCTCCCGCCACACAAACAATAGTGGAATATATTCGTGTGAAAGGTACACCAATCTCCATCTTTCAGTCGAAGCCTTGAGTTTGTTGTTTGGCCGCAATGAGGTCTGATGCTGCAGATATGGACTCGTGGTTGGGGCTGGGTAGTCAGATAGAATGAAATGAAATGAATGGACCGGAGTTTAGGATCGTATAAAGCTCGCCACTCAAAGCTGGAAAATGAAAACGAAAAAAATGAACAAGTTGAAGACTGTCTGTAGATGTGCGACCTGGTCATGAGTAAGAGTTGAGAATGCGTGACGGCGAATGATGAACAGTGCAAAGAACTTGGGTGCGAGTTAGACCGTGAGAGATGATGAAGCAATTAGGAGTAAGGAAGGACTGAGAGTGGAAGCAGAGTTGACGTCGTAGCAGCCCCCACCGACAGGCGAATGGCCAAATCAGGTGAGATTCAAGCGGCGGAACTCAGCTCTTAGGCAAGAAAAGAATTCCCGCCAAGTTTGATATCCATGCCTAACAGTTAAGAATGGACGGGCACGGACAAGGAAGGGGGGTTTCATGCGAATATGGCTTGCAATAAGCATCCCGCCTTTCATGGGAAAGAGGAAATTGCAACACGCGAGAAAAAGTGGACAAGCTTCAATCCATCACCCAGGTCGTCTACCGGACCTTGAACCTTGAATCGGAAGCAGAGGGAGGCGATATCTTTGTTACCAGAAGGTCTGGAACGAAGTGCCATCTCGTAAGCACATCACCTTTTTCACCGTTGCGAAAACGAGTGGAATCTAACGGTCGAGGACAAAAACTAGAGGCATTCATCAGGCATCAGCAACAGCAAATGATAAAAACACGCACATGTGTCGTATCAGTCACTTGAGTCAACCTAGAAGACCAACCAAAATCACCATCATTAGCCCCGTGCAAGACCGAACAAAAAAACACTGTCGGACGAAAGCTTACTGAGAAACATTCAGCCTCGCGCTATTCGCCTGCGAAAATCTCCACAAAATAAACTTGACTGCTTGGTTCATATCCCACCGCCCGTATACTCCGGAAACGTACTCTAGCTGCTCCGCCAAACCCCTCATCCTCATTGACCCTGACCGGCCCCGCACTCCCACTCCGCCTTCCCGCACCACTCGTAGTCACACTACCCTGCCCCCCTGCTACAACCTTGCCCATGATCTTCTCCATAAATACACCCTTCTTCAGAAAGAGTATGATACGTGCCAAGAAGAACTACCTTCAATACCACGGAATCGAACAGCACAAGGGGGGCTCCTTCATCCGATTGGGAGCAGGATTCTCGGTCAATGGTTGGTCTTATTCCGATAAGACCACGCGAAAGATGATGGAGGTGACGGTTTCAAAACAGCGAATCCACTGTTTACGCTCAAAGCTACTAGCGTCTCGAACATCCTGAAGTGGTAAAGGGCGTGAGGAAAGGAAGGGGGCAAATCATTACTTAGCACACGCAATGCCAAAGAGGATGCAAAAGACGCGCTGGATGTGTAACCAAACTTCGTCTCCGTTATGCCCGTCATCTTGGCCCTCGGGCAGGCTCAACAAACATAGATCAGCACATCAGCGAAGAGGAAAAATGTGTCAGAGAAAGGAACGAATACCCTTGATATTAAAATTGAAAGGTGCGACTGCGATTTGTTATGGGCGTAGCGCGGCAAGTGATTCTGTGAATATTTTATTGATAGTTTGCAATCAAACAAGTGAGGTTGGATTTGTTGGTGTTCGAGCCCAATATATATCCAATTCAGGCTTGCCTGCCATGTGCAGGTAGTGAAGTAGCCAATGTCATGCCGAAGATCTCAATGAGGACTGTTTGTGCCTCGGAGTGACGTCTTAGATTCGAAAGAGCTTTACGTAAATTCTGGAGGGAATTGGCCAATTTTGGGGTGTATGCTCCTGGGTTAACAGCAACTAGCTGGCGGTAGAGTTTGACACATTCTTCGATGAATGGGAGCGCCTCCAAGTGCCGTCCGAGATCCGAAAGAGCAATACTTAAATTATTGAGAGACATGGCCAAATCCGGAGTGTATGATCCTGGGTTAATGACAACTAGCTGGCGGTAGAGTTTGACGCTTTCATCGATGAATGGCGCCTCCAAGTGCCGTCCGAGATTGGAAAGAGCATTGTGTAGATTGTTGAGTGATGCGGCCAAACCCGAGGTGTATGATCCTGGGTTAACGGCAACTAGCTGACGGTAGAGTTTGACACTTTCTTCGATGAATGGGAGTGCCTCTGAGTGCCGTCCGAGATCCGAAAGAGCATTACGTAGATTGTTGAGTGACCTGGCCAGGTCCGGGGTGTATGATCCTGGGTTAACAGCAACCAGCTGGCGTCGGAGTTTGACACTTTCTTCGATGAATGGGAGCGCCTCCGAGTGCCGTCCGAGATTGGAGAAGGCATTACGTAGACTGCTGAGTGAGCTGGCCAAATCCGGGGTGTATGCTCCTGGGTTAACAGCAACTAGTTGGCGGTAGAGTTTGACACATTCTTCGATGATTGGGAGCGCCTCTGAGTGCCGACCAAGATCTGAAAGAGCAATACCTAGATTGTTGAGTGACATGGCCAAACCCGGGGTGTATGATCCTGGGTTAACAGTAACTAGCTGGCGGTAGAGTTTGACGCTTTCTTCGATGAATGGGAGCGCCTCTGAGTGCCGTCCAAGATCTGAAAGAGCATTACGTAAATTGTTGAGTGACCTAGCCAAATCCGGGGTGTATGATCCTGGATTAACAGCAACCAGCTGGCGTCGAAGTTTGACACTTTCTTCGATGAATGGGAGCGCCTCTGAGTGCCGTCCGAGATCGGAAAGAGCCTTACGTAGGCTGCTGAGTGAGCTGGCCAAATATGGGGTGTATGATGCTGGGTCAATGGCAACCAGCTGGCGCCGGAGTTTGACGCTTTCTTCGATGAATGGGAGTGCCTCCGAGTGCCGTCCGAGATCGGAAAGAGCAATACCTAGATTGTTGAGTGACATGGCCAAATCCGGAGTATATGATCCCGGGTTAACGGCAACTAGCTGGCGGTAGAGTTTGACACATTCTTCAATGAATGGGAGTGCCTCCGAGTGCTGTCCGAGATTGGAAAGAGCGTTACATAGATTGTTGAGTGAGCTGGCCAAATCCGGGGTATATGATTCTGGGTTAACAGCAACTAGCTGATGGTAGAATTTGACACTGTCTTCGATGAATAGGAGTGCCTCCGAGTGCCGTCCGAGTTTGTAAAGGGTGACATATAGACTGTTGAGTGACCCGGCTAAATGCGGGGTGTAGGAACTTGAGTCCACAGAAAAAAGGTAACGGCAGAGTACAACAGAATCGTTTGCTGCCTCATATGCCTCCTGGAATCTTGAAAAAAATTCCAGGTTCCATGGAAGCTGGGTAAGCACATTAGCCAGTGTGCTAACAGCCCTGTGGTCAACAGCCAACTGGAAGACCATGAGGTAGTTTCTTTGATACAATTGACAACCCATACCTTAGCCCACTCAGGGAGTGACGAGATACTAACGTAGCTTTCCATTCTCACACAAACTTCCACCCACCGAGTTACTTCCTGACTCAGAAACATACTAACTGGTCCAGCAAGCCCCTCAGACCATTCCTGGACTCCACTGAGGTGATGGATGATGTGGCGACATGCATAACGAAAGTGCTCCGATAACTCCTTTGGAGGAATGCGCGGCATTTCATCTTTTTCGGACAAGTTGTCAATCCTCCCCAAGCCCTTTACATGGCAGAGACCCTCATTCAAAATCTCGGTACATCGCACGGCAATCCTGGCATTCTCCACCCCCACTGCTATGGGAGTGAAATGAGAGCTGATTGTTTGGGGATTGACAATAAAATCGCGGAAAGATTGGTGTAAGATGCGAACCGGAATGTAATGATCCTCAACTCCTGAGAGGAGAGGCGAAAGTTCAGCCAACACATGTCGGACAGACTCGGAAGACTTGAGGAAAGGTGACAAAATGGCATCCCAGGCCGTGACGGACAAGGGCTGCTGAGCAACGAAGATCGCTCCCATCACAATCGGGTAGTCATGCGCAAAATCTTCATCCTCCCAATCAAACTTCTTCAAAATCCTCGTATACAGGTCATCCATCACCTTCTTAGTGGGCACCTTTGATCGTTTGGCACCGGTGTCGAGCAGGTTCTCCAGTGTTCTCGTAGGATTCTTCCTAGGCTTCTTCATGTAGCGAAAGATGGTGCTGATCCAAATAAACAAGCCTCCCGCTCGTTCCGAGATCTCCTGCACTGTACTATCCTCGTCCTGGAGTTTATGCGCTAAATCAGGATGCCATTTCTTAAGCTCTTGTAGCTGGAAACGGATGTATGCAGCACAGTCATGCATATTTGTGTCATCCAGGAGATCAATGGTGAGGTGATCGATAGGAAAATGGTACGAGAGGGAGCGATTAACAAGATCAACATGTCTCGAAGTAACGAAAAACTTTATGGAAGACGGTAACTTGGGTACTTCCTCGCAGAGAATCTTAGTAAGGGGGTGATACGCTTCTTCGTCACATTCGTCTAAAGCATCGATAATGACCACCATAGGATGGCTGGGACGCCGAGGCATTTGGAGGAGGGGTGAAGCCACCAATTCCTTGAATTGCATCGTGAATGGAGCTGTTGAGAGGGTGGGGTCTTTTCGAAGGGCAGAGATAATGAAGGCACGGTAATCTGCGTCACGGCTTGCTAGAGCTTGAGCGATGCCGCTGAATAAACAGTCGGGCCGTGGCTGTTCGCCTGTTTTGAAGAAAAAGCATAGCAATAGGGTAGCCTCCCTATTACATCTGTCAGCAATTGTGTGCACAATCGAAGTCTTGCCAGCGCCAGCGACAGAGGTCAGTAGCATCAGCCGGTTCTCGTTATTCCCAGTGTTATAACACCAGTCCATAATACGCTCGGTGAGATCGACCCTGGTGCCTTCTAGGCACGCCTCTGTTGAATCATGGTGGACAATTTGAGGATATCGGAGACTATCGAGGATTGGATCACTCTCCAGACGGCCTAAGCTGTCCTCCATGGCCGATAATTTGACGTCAATCGCACCCTCCAAATGGTCTAGGCTGTCCTCTATGGTCGATACTTGAACGCCAATCGCACCCTCCAGACGGTCTAAGCTTTCCTCTATAGTCGATAATTTGACACCAATTGTTAAATTCGTCCTAAACTGTACCATCCAAAAATCAGAATGATTAGGGAACAATGCCGTGAGGAAAGCTACCTGAAACGATGCCAAAGCTTTGTCAAAATCCCGCTTCAGGCCCTCAATTCTTCCAGGGTCTCGGTAGTGAGACCATACATTCCTTACAGCTGACCGTTCCGCTACTTTTGTAAGTTTTCGTTCAATTTTGGACTGGATCTCCTGTAGTGCGCTGGTAATGGACGTAAGTATGATACCGGAAACGACAAAAACCAATACAACGTACCTCCCAAGTTCTGTGACACCCTCCACCCATGACGTTGCCCCTTTCGCTGATACATCATATGACTTTATGACAGATACTACTTTGGCCGTAGTACCAGCTACGTATTGACCAAAATCAGCCCATTGCTTCTTGTTTCCCTTGAAGTTCTACGTGGGGCAACTAGCGTGAGCTTTCATTCATAATCAAGCTTGAATCATTACCAACTTTAACCTCTTCGAGGATGGAGAGTGCACCGCCAGTCGCCATCTTTAGAGGGGGACACCAATCAGCGGTAGCATTGACGACCCTGAGAATTGGAACCGCCATGTCAACTCCTACCACGAGGAGATTATCAATCGTTTGCCTGAGAGTTTCAGCCTTTTGCCGTAACGACATGGTTGATAGCGGACGAGTGGATGGAGGAGAGAGCTTTGGGCGCGCAACGTACGTATGAGCCCCTAAACTAGGCGTCTGATTATGGAAAGTTGCGGAAGGATATGACATATCCATTAACTATTTGGTCGACACCATACAGACCTCTAGCCCAGTACTATTAGCGGTGAATTCTAGCGGTGGCATGACCCAGATAATTGGTACGGACAATGACATTACTGTAAGTCTCCTGCGCGAAAGTCAATAATCATGCCACCTAGATCTGGAAGAAGGATGAATGTGATTAGGAATAAAAACTAGATATGAATAAGCAAGGGACGTCATACTGAGGCACCGGTCACCACGACATTCGCCTCGTACAATGAGCCGGCGGTAAGCGCCGGTGGGGCAGACGTACGGCAATGGAGGCTGGGACCCAGCCTAGCCTTTCATCAGGATCTTGGAGTGTAATCAGCTTTCATATGAACATTACTAGTAGGGTGCCGGTAAGTGGCCGGGCGCCGGGTCTGCGTTTGTCACAGCAGGCGTCAAAAAAAAGTAAATGTAATAACAACCCCAGGCTGGATGGCGCAAGGGCACGTGAGATATCAAAAAAAGAATTTTTGATTTCGAAACCAACTAGAGAATTTTTTACCGCGAAAATATCGGGGAAGAGTGAAGACCCTTAACTCCCTGAATCACGTGCGGGCGTTACTCCCTGAGTTTGAATTGATCTTGACGCTTTATAGAGAAATGAATTTGTAGTATGGTATCGGTGTCACTGGTTGCCTAGTGGCTAAATTGTTGTTTGGCCTTGTGGGGTATTGAATGTGTCGCAGTTCGACTCTCTGCAGTGGAGTTATACTTTCTTTTGCCTGCCTGCAGTTCACAAGTTGAAGTTGGACCATGACCATGACCATGCAATACTTATACAAAGTCATAGAAGTGCATTAGTATCAATGAATCGACTTGAATGGGGAGGCCCGAAACAAAATAAACAAACAGACAAAACAACAACAACAACAACAACAAACAAAAAACAATCCCAAGCGGGACTTGAACCAAAGCACCCGCATCTGACATAACAGATGGGCTACAACAGAGCCGCTGGGCAACCGGCACAGGCTATAACAAAGTCGAAAATCATTTTCCCATAACACTTAAATATCAATTCAAACTAAGGGAGTAAGATTAGCACGTGATTCAGGGCCGTTCTCGCTTACTCCCCGATATTATCAAACAAACAAACAAAGATCGGATTCAAACTCTGGGACCAAAAATAAAAATCTATTTTCTTCACGTGCCCTTGCGCCATCCAGCCTGGGGTTGTTATTACATTTACTGTCAAAAAAACCACGCGCCCAATTCATCTGAATGGTCCAGACGATCATGTGATCATACAAACGTCAATTAGCTGTGCCTTTCATCCAAATCGCGCGCACGGTTTTTTTGACGTTTGCTGTAAAGCATGCACTCTGCATCAAGACTCCATGCTTTCCCATGCTCGAATCACACCCAACGATAATCATCTTATCGACCTACACGTTACTAACTGAGGTCAAGGTTCAACGGACCGCTTCCCCGCTCATTGATAGGCAGGACTCCAGCCTCTATGACAAACAAACAATATATAGAGCTCATTGAGGGTCCCTCCAGCTCCCTTCAAACCTTCCACTGGAGCAAGGTTTCTCGTTCGAGGACTCGATTACACTCACCCTGGACGCCGCAAGGAACACTTATTGACCACATCACCAGATCTGGACAGCCTTGCAGCCTCCCCTCGCTCTTGTATCGCGATCTCTCTTACCCAGTGACGCTCGAACCCTGTGTTCGTGGCGCTTCGATTCATTATTTATACAGCAGGTCGCTTCGACCCTGGAGGTGAAATACTCAGAAGTAGCGCTCATGTCGATTTTGGACATGTTTTATTACTGGGCCAATCGGTTTGCAGACAGTCCGCTTCCTCTACGCCACACCCATTGCCATTTTTATATTATTCCCAGTCACCCACGAATTAGCCAATGGCTTTGTTCAGCTCAGAGTCTCCTCCTAAAGACGATGCCGGGATTGAATATTGTGTCGTCATAATTTACACACTCCCTCCATAAGCGCAATTTGCAATGTTCATCTGTCGATTTAGACGATCCAATCATCGCTTTAAACATCTGCAGTTCAGAACGTGGCATGATTGAGCTTAGAACTCCGAAAATATTGTTAAGGGAGGAAAAGGCTTCATTAGTTTGGCACAACTACCCTTCGCCCATGCAGCGCACCTTAGCCGTGGCGCTCATGCCTTGTCAGGAAACAACTCTGTTGCCTCGTTGCCCTGAACTTACAACAAATTCAGACTCGGGGCGGCGGTCCGGTGAGTACATGTCCCCCCTCGTGCAGCAATGGTCGCGAAACACCCCGGTTTGTTTGCCATGCAGCAATGTCTGTTTCTGCAACTATGTTGTGCTGTTCCTTCTCGACCGCGCGCAAGTCATTGCCACCGCTCCCATGTTGTATAAAGCTTGGGATTGCGTGCGGAGTGCGCGCGCACCTCGTGCGAATTGTCTTCATGACCTTTAGACATCAGAAGTCGAGCGTCTCTTCCTAATGATCTTAGTCGTTCTATTACGAAGCACTGGAACACAGGCTGGATCTGGCCCGTTAGGTCCCGTGGATACAAACTGTACTGACTCGGAGTAAGCTGATTCTTGATCCTTGAGGGTTGTGCACCGAGGGAATGATAAACAACGCCATTCCCTGCAACGTCCAATGGCCAGGTTGAAAAGTGTTCCAAAAGGCAGCTGATTTGGACTATCACTGGTGCCGTCTCTGGGGTGCGAGGAGTGAACAATGTTTACTATGCACGTTCAATGTCTTTCCCTCCGTAGCAATATTTTCGGTTCTTGTCATTTGGGCCGTGGTAAGGAGGTATCGAAGATCGAAGGCGAATGGTTCGGGGAAGGATCCGTGTTTGGAGATGGTGGCCGCTGGCGGCGTTATGACTGCATTACTTCATGGACTAGGTCACATAAATGATGGCGTATTGGCCAAGACTTACCCGTAGTGTGCGCTCCTAGCAGTGCTATTTAATTTGCCCCATTTCTAGACCTCATCCTAAAACCACAATCTGGTGATCAACGACAGCAGACCCCCCCGCCACACAAACAATAGTACATTCGTGTGAAAGGTAACACCAATCTCCATCTTTCAGTATCCTATTGTCGAAGCCTTGAGTTTGTTGTTCGGCCGCAATGAGGCCTGATTTTGCAGATATGCAAGGAACTTGTTGCGGCTGGGTAGTCAGATAGAATGAAATGAAATGAATGGACCGGAGTTTCGGTTTGTATAAAGCTCGCCACTGCAAAGCTTGAAAAATGAAAACGAATAAATTGATGGTTGTCTACTGGTGTGCGACTTGGTCGTGGGTAAGAGTTGAGAATGCGTGACGGCGAATGGTGAATAATGCAAAGAAATGATGGGGAGGGAAACTTGGGTGCGCGAGTTAGACCATAGGAGACCATGAAGTAGGGAAGGTCCGAGAGTGAAAGCAGAAAAGGGATGGTTGGATGCCGTAGCAGCCCTACGGACAGGCTAATGTCCAAATCAGGTGGCATTCAAGTGGCGGAACTCAGCTATTACTATTAGGCAAGAAAAGAATCCTTACCAAATTTGATGGCCATGCCTGGCAGTTAAGAATGGACGAGCACGGATAAAGAGGGGGTTCCATGCGAATATGGCTTGCAATAAGCATCCCGCCTTTGATGGGAAAGAGGAAATTGCAACACGCGAGAAAAAGTGGACGAGCTTCAATCCGCCACTCGGGACATCTCCCAGATTTGGATTGAAGTGGCATATCGTGAGCACATCACTATGTTCACCATGAGTGGGATCTAACGATCGGGAACAAGAACCAGAGCCATTCATCAAGTATCAGTGACAGCATACTAAACAAAAGATAAAAAGTTACCCACATGTGTCGTATCAGTTACTGAGAAGACCAACCAAAATCACCATCATTAGCCCTATGCTAGACCGAACAAAAAGAAAACACTGTGGGACGACACATGCTTTGTTCATGTCCCTCTCGAGTATACTCTGGAAACATACTCTAGCTGCTCCCCAGACCCCTCACACTCCGCTCGCTCACATCCTCATTGACCCAAACCCCGCACTCCCACTCCCCCTTCCCGCGCCACTCGTACTCGCACTGCCCTGTCCCTCCACTACAGCCTTGCCCACGATCCTCTCCATAAATACATCCTTCTTCAGAAAGAGTATGATACTGCCAAAAGGAACTGCCTTGGATTTGCCACGGAATCGAACAGCACAAAAAGGCTCCCTCATCCGATTCTGAGCAGGATTCTCGGTCAATGGTTGATCTTATTCCGATAAGGCCGCACAAAAGATGATGGAGGCGACGGTTTCAAAACAGTGAATCCACTTTTTACGCTCAGAGCGTTGGTCAGCTACGTCTCGAACATCCTGAAGGGGTAAAGGGTGCGAGGAAGGGAAAGGGGGTAAATCATTACTTAGCACATGCAACGCCAAAGAGGGGCAAAAACGCGCTGGATGTGTAACTACACTTCATCTCCGTTATCCCCGTCGTCTTAGCCCTCAGGCTCATTAAGGACATAAACAGCTGGTAGTGGGGGTTGGATCATAGAGGTTGGTAGGCTATGCAGATTGGTCGCTGGAGTTGGTTAGGTGATTTGAATAGAAATGGTTGATGTGGGGAAAGCACCGAGTTTGCCGAATCGAGTCTGACACTCGCGAAGATTGACGTCACCCCAATGCCATTGATATCACACACTTCAGACTTGGTACTCCATTAGAAGACATGGGGCGACGATTCGACACGTGTAACTGCTTATCGAAGTGTTAAGTCAAAGCATGATGTGTCACTTACGTATCGGAGTTGGACATCCCCAAGCCGTCACTGCACACCGTTATGCTTCCACTGGTTCTCAACTTTCACACCCCTAATGCGATACATCGAACAGTGCCGACCTGTCGATTTCAACTTTCCATTGTGCCAACATGTATCATCGATCGACCGAAACCTCGGCGTCATATATAGAAACATATATCAATACTTCAGCGATGAGCATTGCGAGGAAAAATGCGTTAGAGAAAGAAATGAATACCCTTAATGTTATTGGGATTGAAAGATGTGACTGTGATTTGTTATGGGTGTAGCGCAGCCAGTGAATATTTTATCAATAGTCTGCAATCAAAAAATGGAGGTTGGGTTTGTGGGTGTTCTCAAGCCGAATATCCGATTCAGGCTTGCCTGCCATGTGGTGAGGCCAATGAAATACCGAACATCTCAATGAGGACCATTTGTGCCTCGGAATGGCGTCCGAGCATGGAAAAAGCACTACGTAGATTTTCGAGTGAGAGGGCCAATTTTTGGGCATACGCTCCTGGGTTAACAGCGACTAGCTGGCGGTAGAGCTTGACACATTCTTCGATGAATGGGAGCGCCTCCGAGTGTCGTCCGAGTTTGGAAAGAGCGGCAGCTAGATTCTGGAGTGACCTCGCCAAATGCGAGGTGTATGATACTGGGTTGACGGCAACTAGCTGGCGTTGGAGTTTGACGCTTTCTTCGATGAATGGGAGCCCCTCCGAGTGCTGTCCGAGGTTGGAAAGAGCATTACATAAATTGTTGAGTGACAAAGCCAAATACGGGGTGTATGATCCTGGGTTAACGGCAACTAGCTGGCGGTAGAGTTTGACGCTTTCTTCGTTGAACCGGAGCGCCTCCGAGTGCCGTCCGAGGTTGGAAAGAGCAATACGTAGATTGCTGAGTGATGCAGCCAAAATTGGGGTGTATGATCCTGGGTTAACGGCAACCAACTGGCGGTAGAGTTTGACACTTTCTTCAATGAATGGGAGCCCCTCCAAGTGTCGTCCAAGATCCGAAAGAGCGTTATATAGATTGTTGAGTGAGGTGGCCAACTCCGGGGTGTATGATCCTGGGTTAATGGCAACTAGTTGGCGCCGGAGTTTGACACTTTCTTCAATGAATGGGAGTGCCTCCGAGTACCGTCCGAGATCGGAAAGAGCATTGCGTAGATTGTTGAATGACCTGGCCAACTCCGGGGTGTATGATTCTGGGTCAACAGCAACTAGCTGGCGGTAGAGTTTGACGCTTTCTTCCAGGAATGGGAGCGCCTCCGAGTGCCGTCCGAGATTGGAAAGAGCAATATATAGATTGTTGAAGGACATGGCCAAATCCCCGGTGTATCCTGGGTTAACGGAAACTAGCTCGCGCTGGAGTTTGACGCTTTCTTCGATAAATGGGAGTGCCTCCGAGTGCCGTCCAAGTTCGGAAAGAGCATTACGTAGATAGTTGAGTGAGGTGGCCAAATCTGGGGTGTACGATCCTGGGTTAACAGCAACCAATTGGTGCCGGAGTTTGACACTTTCTTCGATGAATGGGAGTGCCTCTGAGTGCCGTCCGAGTTTGGAAAGGGCGACATATAAACTGTCGAGTGACTCAGCCAAATGCGGGGTGTATAAACTTGAGTTCACAGAAAAAAGGCAACGGCAGAGTACAACAGAATCATTTGCTGCTTCATATGCCTCCTGGAATCTTGAAAAAAATTCCAGGTTCCACGGAAGCTTGGTAAGCACTTTAGCCAGTGCACTGAGAGCCCTGTGGTCAACAACCAACTGGAAGACCATGAGGTAGTTTCGTTGACACAATTGATAACCCATACCTTAGCCCATTCAGGGAGTAACAAGATACTGACATAGCTTTCCGCTCTCACACAGACTTCCACCCACCGAGTTGCTTCCTGACTCAGAAACATAGTAACTGGCCCAGCAAGCTCCTCAGACCGTTCCTGGACTCCACTGAGGTGATGGATGATGTGGCGACATGCATAATGAAAGTGCTCCGATAACTCCTCTGGAGGAATGCGCGGCATTTCATCTTTGTGGAACAAGTTTTCAATCAACCCTAAGCCCTTTACAGAGCACAGATCCTTGTTCAAAATCTCAGTACATCGCAGGGCAACCCTGGCATTCTCCGCCCCCACTGATATGGGGGTGAAATGAAAGTTGATCATTTGGGGATCGATCCGATCGACAATAAAATCGCGAAAAGATTGGTGTAAGATGCGAACCGGAATGTGGGAATCCTCAACTCCTGAGAGCAGAGGAGCAAGTTCGGCTAAAGCATATTGAACAGAAGAATCGAGGAAAGGTGACAGAATTGTATCCCAGGCTGTGACGGAGAGAGGCTGCTGAGCAACGAAGATCGCTCCCATCACAATCGGATAATCATGCGCAAAATCTTCATCCTCCCAATCAAACTTCTTCAAAATCCTCGTATACAGGTCATCCATCATCTTCTCAGTGGGCACCTTTGATCGTTTGGTTCCGGTGTCAAGCAGGCTCTCCAGTGTTCTCATAGGATTCTTCCTAGGCTTCTTCATGTAGCGAAAGATGGTGCTGATCCAAATGAATAAGCCACCCGCTCGATCCAAGATCTCCTGCACCGTACTATCCTCGTCCTGGAGTTTATGCGCTAAATCGGGATGCCAATTCTTAAGCTCTTGTAGCTGGAAACGGATGTATGCAGCACAGTCATGCATATTTATGTCATCCAGGAGATCAATGGTGAGGTGATCGATAGGGAAATGACGTGAGAGGGAGCGATTAACAAGATCAACATGTCTTGAAGTAACGAAAAACTTTATGGAAGACGGTAACTTGGGTACTTCCTCGCAGAGAATCTTAGCGAGGGGGTGATATGCTTCTTCATCACATTCGTCCAAAGCATCGATAATGACCACCATAGGGTGGCTGGGAGGCGGAGGCTTATGAAGGAGAGGCAAAGACACCAATTCCTGGAACTGCATCGCAAATGAAGCTGTTGAGAGGGTGGGGTCTTTTCGAAGGGCAGAGATAATGAAGGTACGGTAATCTGCGTCACGGCTTGCTAGAGCTTGAGCAATGCCGCTGAATAAATGGTCCGGCCGTGACTGTTCGCCTGCTCTGAAGAAAAAGCATAGCAATAGGACAGCCTCCCTGTTACATCTACCGGCAACCGTGTGCACAATCGAAGTCTTGCCAGCGCCAGCGACAGAGGTCAGTAACATCAGCCGGTTCTCGTTATCCCCGGTGTTACAACACCAGTTCATGATACGCTCCGTGAGATCGACTCTGGTGCCTTCCAGGCACGCCTCTGTTGAATCATGGTGGGCGATTTGAGGGTATCGGAGACTACCAAGGATTGTGTCACTCTCCAGACGGTCCTCTATGGTCGATAATTTGACACCAATTGTTAAATTTGTTGTAAGCTGCACCGTCCGAAAATCAGAATGATTACAAAACAATACGGCGAGGAAAGCTACCTGGAATGATGCCAACGCTTTGTCAAAATCTTTCTTTAAGCCCTCAATTCTTCCAGGGTCTCGATAGTGGGACCATGCATTTCTTACACCTGACCGTTCCTCTAGTTTCCTAAGTCTTCGTTCGATTTTTGACTGGATCTCCTGTAGCGCGCTGGTACTGGACGTAAGTATGATATCGGAAGCCACCAAAACCAATAGAACGCACCTCCCAAGCTCCGCGACACCCTCGACCCATGACCCTGCCTCCCCCGCTGACATATCATAAGACTTTATGGCTGTAACTACCTTGGCTGTAGTGCTAGCTACGTATTCACCAAAACCAGCCCATTTCTCCTTGTCCTCCTTGAACTTCTACGTGGGGAAAACTAGCGTGAGCTTTCACTCATAATCAAGCTTAAATCATTACCAACTTTAACCTCGTCGAGAATGGAGAGTGCACCGCCAGTCGCCATCTTTAAAGGAGGACACCAATCAGCGGTAGCATTGACGACCCTGAGAATTGGAACCGCCATGTCAACTCCCGCCTCGAGATAAATATTGATCGTTTTCCTGAGAGTTTCAGCCTTTTCCCGCAACGACATGGTTGATAGCGGAACGAGTGGATGGAGGAGAGAGCGCTTTAGGCGCGCAACGCACGTGTGCGAAAGCTAGAGCCACGAGGCCCCCGTCTGATTATGGAAAGTTGAGCAAGGATATGATATATGCATTGACTATTTGGTCCACACAATACGAATCTCTGATACCGAATCATGACCCGGACTCGTCAGGTAATTGGTATGGGCAATGACTCTACCGCACGAGAGCC